TTATAATTAACATTAATAATAAAAATGGATGAACAAATACAAGAAAATTTTGATGATCAAGAAATAGGCAACTTCCATCGAGAGAATTTTTACATCAACCCTGATGAATCAATTATTCGTTTTTTTTTATTATTTTATTATTATATATTTATTTAATAAAAAATTGTCAAGAAAAAAAATCACGTGATATATTCAAAGATCTTTCCTTAAAAGGAAAGATCATCCAACAGAGCGGCTCCAGAGCCGCTCCTCAGCTCTATATTGGTTCGGTTCCAGAGTCGCTCAGGAGCGGCTCCTTAACGGAACTGCCCCATTCCTATTTCTACGCTATCAAATTCACGATTTTAATTGGTCAATCAATAAATTGCATGGGCTAAAATTTTGTGTTCCCAGACAGTATCTCCTGTTGTTTAGAAACCCCAAACTACTTTTGAAACTAAACTGATTTTTATGATCATATGACATTTTGTTCAAGTTATTTCTAAATATAAATTGATTAAATCGTTTAAATACTTTTGTTTAAATTTAATCTGAGAATTAAAAGTCCATTATATTTTAGAATGTTAAAATATCTGTTTGAGATATTTTCCATGAATCAATTATTTTATTAATATTCTTGATCAGTTATTTCCGATTTTCTTTATATGCAACTTTCATAAATCATTTTGATTTATTTATTAATTTCCCAATGTTTTTATCAAAATTTCCTTTTATTTGATATTATTATCTTGACAATTAATTAATTAAATCATTGGTATAGTTTAAATCAATATAAATATTAACATAAAATTTTTTCTTAAAAATATATATAATTTTTTTTAACCACAATAATGTCAAACAATACTGATGTAGATATAAATGATTCAAAAAAAACATGGTGGATGACCAAAAAATGCAATTTGACAACATTTTGAATGTTATTCATTAAAACATCTAGGGCATTTTGGAGCCAAACGCAAAAGCATGTAATTGTGAATGTAGTAATGAAGTTGTTAAAAACTGCAAGTTCATTTGGCACATGAATGTGAATATATTAAAGAAAATATCAAAAAAAGATATACACTCAATGGACAAAAAGTTTGTACCCAAAAATTATTTTGAGATTTTCTCAAAATTATATTAAATAAATATTTGTGTTATTTACATCAATTCAAAGTTCTGGTTCTTGAGAAAGTTTTTTATTAATAACAAATTTTTATCTTGTGAAATTTTTACTATGAAAAAATTAAAAATAAATTTGACTTTAAAATTATAAAATGGATGATCAATTTTAACAAATAAAATTTTATGTCCAATTTCAAAAAAATATTATTTCTTACTATCTTAATATCTGGTTGACCAACCATTGTTGGCAATACATTCTTCTATCCTTCTGGGCATACTATCAATCAAATTCAAATATTTTTCACAAGGAATTTGTTCCCATTCTTGTCTCAAGAAAATTTCCAACTCTCCCAAAGTTTTTGGATGTTCAAGACAATTTTTTAATCTTTGGCCAAGTTCATCCCATAAGTGCTCAATGGGATTAAGGTCTGGTAACTGAGAAGGCCAATTTTCAAGAAGGATGTGCTCCTTCTGTTAATTCACAATTTGATCCCATTTTTAAAAAAAAATGGTCATCAATTTCATGATTCCATAATTTTAATGCCAAATTTATTTTTAATGTTATCATAATAAAAATTTCACAAAATAAAATTTGGTATCAATAAAATTTCTTTAAGAACCAATGCTTTCAAATGATATAAAAATCGCAATTATTTTTTTTAGAAAAGTGCAAGACAAAAACAAAACGATCATCAATTTTGTAATTTTAATGCTGATTTCATTTTTAGTTTTATCATAACAAAAACTTCATAAATAAAGATTTAACAATAATAAAAAACTTTTTCAAGAACCATAACTTTAAAATGGTGTAAAGGTCACAATTATTTATTTAGTAGGATTTTGTAAAAATGCAAAATAATTTTTGGGTACAAACTTTTGTCCATTGAGTGTATGTATATTTGTTGCAGAAAGAGATGGTATAAGTGAATCTTTAGAAAATGCAGCATATAAAGCAAATACACAATTACTTGCAAATTTTTGGGATAAAGATGAGATATTATTAGAAGAATGTGCAGGAATTATATATCATTCAATTTCAAAGGCTTTTGTGACTTGTGGTATCCAGAAGTATTTGCAATTCACCTCCACCAAATATTATTTTATAATAATAGTATTTTGGTTGCTTCTTTTTAATAAGCAAAAATAAAAATAAAGATTAAAAAAAATATTTGTTTGGTTTGGGTTTTGAAATAGTTTAGGAGTTTCAAAATAGTTTAGGAATGTCAAAAACAATTTAGGAATTTAACAGTTTAGGAGTTTCGAAATGGTTTAGGGATTCGGGCTCATTTTCTAATCCAGTTTAGAATGGTTTTAATATCATGTTAATAAAAAAGACCTATAGTATATGTGACATGTAATAATAATTGTTCAGGCAGGGCAAATAAGAATAACTTATCACTTTGGTTAATAATGTTGGGTTGGTGTGAAATATATATATTATTGAACCAGCGATTTTAACAACGCGGAGTGTAATATTAATAATATCCATTGCACTTTTCTATTTCTTAATTAATACACATTATAGAACGATATTATGTAAAAAACTCAAATTAAACGATAATATTAAAAATTTGAACTGTGAAATTATATTAATTTTTAAATTATCCTGTGTACTCTTCTGTCATTAAGAGATGATGTTTTAATCTAGAACTTTTCAGGAACTCAATTGTTAATTTACGATTTTTTAGAAAGAAATCAATAGCTTCCGATTCGGTAATCACCCACCATACGAATTTCTTCTTCAGATGGGGGTACTTTTCAAAATTCAAGGTTCTTATATATATAGTACTTGGGTTCCATTTAGGATCGTTTTCTTTATCAATTAAAAGTGCTTAGCTCTAGCTCTAAATCAAGAACATTTTTATAATAATAATAAAATTTATATTTTTGAATTGAAATTATGAGAAAAATACAAACTAATGTGCGATTAGAACATTATTTAAATATATATTTTTATTTTCTGGCAGATAAGTAAGAAGAATAATTATTCATTGTAATCTTCCTCCCATGCGACCAATATGATAAAATACTATTTCTTTTGTTAATTTTCGTGCCTCCTCTTTTTTCCTTTCTTGTATTGCCTTCATATACTCTCTTAAACTTTTTTTCTTTTCTTCAATACATTCATCTCTTAGTAATGATACAGTAAAATTATTATATTCTTCAAGAAATTTATTTACGTCTTTCTCCAAGAAATAAGAATTTTCATTTATAAAAATATCACTATTATTAGCTGCATCTTTACTGTCATTATCAACATTGATATCAGTAAAAGTAAGCCTTGGTGGCAAGAAGCTCTGATTAATACTAGGATGTTTTATGTGTTCAACATATGGTAAACATCGAAACATTTCATCTGGATACCTATCTGTTTTTTTAAGATCTTCAAAGCTAAAAAGCAATAATAAAAAATGTTATTATTATTGTGGTTATTATTATTATTAGGGATTTTTTATATTTAATAATGTAATATAAAAGAATATAATATAATCATAATCATAATCATAATCATATTTTACCTAATTGTTTTTTCTACTAAACAACTTTCACAAATTAATATTTTAAATTCCCATCTCAATGCTTCATTATTTTTAACTTCAGCGTCACAAAAGTAACATTTTGTTGCCAAAATACTCAACCAAATATATTGTTGTTCTGAAACATTTGGTGGTGGCGGTCTATCTACTTGCATTTGTTTATCACAATGCTTTATACGTGAGTTACGCCATATTTGTTGTGTATATGGTGAATTAGACCATAGAAATTTTCGCAGCTTTTTGCAAACTGTTGATAAAGTATATAAATCTGATGGTAGCAAGTATTCGCATATTTCTACTAAAACTTCATCAACCAACGTTAATAAATTGGTTTCTTGTGACAATAATGTGTAAGAGAAATTTTCTGTTGATGTTGTTGTTGTTGTTAAAGATGAAGATGATGGAGATGATAGAGGCGATGAATTTTGTTTGATAGAAGTATCATTATCATTATTTATTAAATCATCATGTTTAATTAAATTGACACTTTTATCGTTATTATCATCATTATCGTTATCATTATTATTTAACGTCGCTACTTCAGAAGTTTTGTCATCATCATTTTCTTTTTTTGCGATAATTTCTTCATTCATTTTTTGTTTATAAATAATTATAAAAATTTTCATTCATTTACTTATGAAATCTTTTCACAATGGATATTCCATAAAAGATAAATCGTACTACTTTGAATTTTTTAAATAGAAATTTTAATTTATTGTGTAGATAATCGTCGTATATAGTATGTGAATATTATGTAAATCTATATATTTTAAAAAATGCCGTCATCGTCAATGTTTCATTCAGAATTCCCTAATACCTTCACATTCTTTTTTTCTCTATCAACACATTCTTTTTCTTTCCAATACTTGTGATTGAGTTTCCATTATTTTTCGCCTGTAGCCTCTTCAATTTCTTTAGTAAACCATCTAGGATGGAATTCTGGAATAGAACAGTTTCTCTTGACTTTCTTTTTCTCTTTGTTTTCCTCTAACCTATTTTTTTTCGAACTTGCAGATTCATAATCACCTAATGTCATTGATCTTTGATCAGACTTAAACCTTGAATATGTAGGGTATTCAAGTTTCCATTGAATTGGGTAAATCATTGCAAACGGTGTTAAGTTAAAGGTAAATGTTCGGGTGCTTTTTTCATAATAATACAATTGGTCTTTGTTGTGGTTGGATGACGATATTTGTAAAATGTTAACTACGGTGCAGATCATCTATAATCAATTAGCTTCAAAATGCTAAAAAATATTCTAATCATTTTAAAAAAGTTAGCCGATAAGTTTTTATTATTTGTGACTCAAGCTTCAAATTTTATCGACAGACCAAATTTTGTTATAAGAAATTGAGACTAAGTAAATTTTGTGCAATAAAATTTTTTCCATACTTTACACGAATTGATTGACTTACTTTTTAAAGCTGAATTCAATGGTGGTGGTTTTTCTATGTGGGATCACATAATATTTCAAATTTTTTAACTTTTGAGTATAGATGATCCGCACTGCGCCTAAATTCTCTTCATGTGTTGAGGGGCATAAATTATTATTCTAGCAACCAACCTTTCATTTCATCTATATACAATCTCCAAAATTGCTGTCATCTTTACCTCTCAACCCTAGCTTTAAAAGTTAGACTAATCTCCTGTCAAATGATTCGTTATAGTCATAACTCACAGTTTAACCAATTATTTCCATGAATAATGTTCAGAAAGTGCTTTGGGATTACCATTTGCTGGAAAGTCTTTAGTTAATATTCCTTTAAAACTTTTAGTCTCATACGTTTACAAAGAATAAAGTCGGCAAGATGATTGAGGAAACTGAAAAATTCGCAGAATCAGATACAAAACATAAAGATGTTATTGAGGCAAGCTAATCAATAATTTATGAAATAGAGAAACATTTAGATCAATTTAAAAATTAGGTGGATGCAGAGTTGTCACTAAAAACTTAAAGAAAAATGGGGAAATTAAAAGATGTAATTACAAAAGGAGAAGATGCGAATACTAAAGGAACTAAACAAGAAATGCATGAATTACAACAAGACAGTATTAAATTGTTTGAAACATTACATGCCAGAAATAATAATAGTCAACAATCGTCATCATCATCAGAAGGTTGAGAGAACTCGTCCAATTCATCATAATGAATCATCCAAAACTAATAAAAAAAATTAGAATAAGAATTTAAAATTTTTAATATTTCCGCGTCAATAAAATATAAATTTACTTTGTAAGTGAAGATTTCTTTATTTTAGAAAAATAAAAACCATCCACATTCCTTAAATAAATATATAACAGTGGGTTCTTGAAAAAAGAAAATAATTATTACCATCATACCAAAATAGTTTATCTTTACAAGAAATAAATATTAATTATTACTTACAGTTACGGCCATACATAGTGAAAAGCACCGGAACCCGTCCGATCTCCGAAGTTAAACCACTAATGGCCTAGTCAGTACTATGGTTGGGGACAACATGGGAATACTGGGTGTCGTAACTTTTTTTATTTTATTTTTCAAAAAAAAAAAATTTTTTTTTGCTACGTATATTTTATTAAAAACAATTTATTAATCAATCAACTAACGATAACATTATTTTACTGGACTTGAATTAGTTCAATTAAATTTTGTTTTGGTTGTTTCATATTATCAGGAAAATATTCCAATAATATTTCATACAATTCCATTCGATCATTAAATGAATTATATATTTCATCTATTATGTTTTTTTTTTAAAAAAAAAGATTATTTACATATGTAAGTAAATATATATACAAATTACATAAATAAATTATACTATCAAGATTTACCTCTTTTTAAGTTAAATAATCCAGATGTTAAAGCTTGGAATTCAACACGTTCTGATTCATTTTCTTGATCCACTAATTGGCCTAATTGAACCTGAAGATATTTTAATGCTGCTATGGAATTACCCTCAAAACATAACTCTTTGTACCTAAATAAAAAATAGTTATCAATGATTATTTCAAAAAAAAAATTTGAATAAAGCAAAGATCCTTACTTTTGTTTTCGTATAAAATATTTAATTCCTCTTAGTAAATTCTCTGGTTTTGGTCTTTAAAAAATACATTAATAAAAACGAATTACAGATTACTTATCTATACTATTGATTAATTAATTGCCACCTTATTAAATGAAATTCCCAAAAATCATCTAATCTTTGTTTCATTGAAGCTTCAGTTTCAACAAATCTACCGCCAAACAAATAATGAACTTTATTTATATTATCGTAGATGAATTGATGTGCAAGTCTTGGCCTAGGCTCGACAGTTTCATTACTTAACCAATAATATGAATCATGGATTTCACTCTGATATATTTTCGTCCATCTGTCTTTTAATAAATCATAAACCCAAAAGGCGTTCTTGATTACATATGATCTCTTGTCTCTCTTCTCTCTTAGTCCAACTAAGACATAAATTTCTTTTGTTTCTAAATCAATATTTATACGATGAATAAAAATCAAATCTTGGTCACATCTTGTCATATATTCAGTTGACAATTCATATACTGAATCTGCACTGATATCATATACAAAAAAGTCGCTGCGGAAAGAGTAATATGTAGAATATGTGTAGATTTAGATATTAATTATATTATATTATATAATTATTTATAACCTAGTCCGCCTATATATATACAATCAATTAATCCCAATGTAAGACAAACCTTAAAAACATGTTGTCACAATCTCCCCCTCCAATTATATATAATAAATTTTCATCTGGATCAAATAACATCGAGATACCAACTCTTATCCTAAGTTGAGCTTGATCATTTGGTAATTTATATTCAGATCTATAAAAATATATTTGTAAGGAATATTAGTTGTCAATAGATGGAATAAAAATATTTTATCAGATATATAAACAACCTAATTAATTTCCATTCATTTGTTGGTATGTTGTATGAATATAAGCCGCTAAAATTAAATTTATCTGTGTCTTTATTTATTATTTTTCCACCAAATATATATAATATTTGGTTTTCATAATCTATACACATTTGGTTATCGTATGTTAATTGGGGTCCACCTTCGGACTAAAGTAAATATATAACAAATATATGATTTATATATGTTATAAATATAATAATCATATCCATATAATTATAAATGTATAAATGTATATATATAAAAATACTTGCCGCAGTATCCTCAGAAAGTAAAAACCATTGATTAGTAGTGATATTGTATTGGTAAAAATCTGCATTAAGATTGACAATTGATCTCATTTCATGACTAATAAATTTTCCATACACATAAATTTTCTTGTATTTTGGATCAAAACACATTTTATGATTTGATCTTGGTTCTGGTCCACCTTGTCTAATTATAAAATATATATTTTAAATATATATAATATACAGAAATATATATATTATATTAAACAAATAAACATACTCTTCAGTATCAGAACTTATTAGTGACCATGAATTCTTATTAATATTGTAAACCCAGAAATCTGATAAATTTGTGGTTCCATTCCAACCTCCAAGCAAATAAATGTCCCCAGCCTTTAATTTAATAATTAATCAATTAATAATTGGTGACATAATATGTTGTTAGATGATTTTTTTATAATTTATAACAATCACACATATATATATATATTGACAATATGATGTTTGAATCCAATCAATAATCACCTCTGCATCTATACACATTTGATGTCCACCTCTCATACATGGAACTTTATCATCTGGTATTTTTATAAAAAAGCACAACAATAATTAATTCATTAGTATATTTTTTACCTAAAAAAAATTATAATCATACCTGTATCATCATCATCATCATCATTCCTGTTTGTTTCAATTCTTTTCCAATAATATTTGTATATACATTTACGAAGATAATCTTCAAACAAGCCATTTGTAACAGCTTCACATATAATCTCTTCTGATAATTGGAAATCACCATTTATTACTAATTGAGTATATAGATCAGTCAGAACTGGATCTTCCAATAATATGTGTGTACGTGATTGTAAAGCATCAAAAGCGTTCAAATAATTTTTTTGTCTAAAATGCTTTAAACAAAGTCGAATTGCTTCGTTTTCACGATACTAAATTAATTTAAATTTAAAAAGTTGAAATTTTCAATGTTTATTTCAATTAAACGCCAATCTTCCATTCTAATAATTTCAATAATGACTTACAGCTAAGTAGTCATAGTATGCTTTTTGAACAATTTCTTGATCTTGAACACCTTTTAATTCAACATACCATATACTAAAACTATGATTTGTTGCATATGCTGCAAGTGGAATTATTTTAATAAATTGGAAAGGTAATAACTACTCACATATTATATATATATATATATATATTTATATTTATTTATTTATTATTATTTATATTATAAATATGTTGATTATTATTAATACTATTAGCAAAAAAACTTTTCTACTTACTACATTATTTGTACAATATTTAAGTTGAAATGTTTCAGCATGAGGATTATTTTGTAAACCTGGAATAAATTGATTTTATGAGCAACTAATTTTGATAAAAAAATAGATCTTAACGTAAAAAATAATAAATAATTACCATTATGAAGAATCTCTATCATGTTATTTGGTGTAAGTCCTCCATACACTTTAAATTGCTTAAGATTACACACATGCTCTAAAAATCAATAATTTAAATAAAAATAAGAATCTAAAGGTATACTACATGTATTTATTCACAAGTATAAATAAATTACCTTTAAAATATTTTCCCAATACTATATTATCTTAAAATAAATTCAAGAAAGTTGTTAATTCTAATAATTTTTCATGAAATTCAATCATAAATTTCAATGCATTATTATTAAAGAAATAACTATGTATACAAGGATACAGACAATGGCCATTTTGTCTAGTTTTAATAGGACATATTGAGTTTGTCTACCATTATTATAACATGACCATCTGGAAGTTTGTTCAGAAGGTTTATTTTCCATAATGTTTTTTGGATGATATGACGTTGAATAAGAAGAACAAGAGTGAATCTCGTATGATAACTTTTCGATTGGATATTCATGTTGAAACCGCTGTCTTTTTTTTATTGATAACGACATGATAAATTATAATTTTTGGAGATTTTTTGATTGATATTGATCGAGTAAAGAGTAAAGAAATTTCAATGAAATAATTGTAGATCATTACTAAAATAATTGTTTGAAGTTCATGATAATTACCATTTTGTTCATTTTGCTTTTTTTTTTTTATTTTACATTTCATCTTAAAAATAAAATAATTGTTTTTAAAAAATGGACACCGAACAAGAAGAAAGTATAAATGAAGTTTCTGAAAATCTTGTTAACGAAGAAGTTGATGCTGATACACCAGATTCTTCTGAAGAAGAGGAGGAAACTGATGAAGAAACTTACAAAAAAGTATTGTAAACTTAAAAAAAGCCCTTTTTTTTTGCTTAATTGATTTTATAAATACATATATACATCTATAGGAATCAAAAGGATTTATTGTTGACGATGAAGAAACTGAAGACGAGGGGGTAGGAGAGGAAGTGGAGGAAGAACAAACAAATAAATTATTTCTCAAAAAAAGGAAACACAAAAAGAAAAAAAGAAAAAGAATTGTAGAATGTTGGTATTTTTTTTTCTCGTAGTTCTTTAAATATTATTATTGTTAATATTAATCATCTTTTTTTATTTAGCCGATGATTCTGACGATGAAATTCTAGAAGATGATCTAGACCTTTTAGCAGAAAATTCAGGCCAACATAAACGTCTTAAACGTGGACATAGCAGAGATAAGGATGTTTCTAAAATATTTGATGAAGATGAGGAGGAATTGGGTCTGGAAAATCATGATAATGATTCAGATTTCATTGTTGATGATTATGAGGAAGCCGCCGGATTACCTATGGAGTATGAACATACTCCACAGCCTAAATTATATAAACAATCAGAAAGTTACAGATATATAGATAATGAGTATGTAGTAATACTTATTCTCATTTAAGTGATTCTTTAAATATTGTTGCATAAAATTAATTTTCTTATGTTTATTTACAAATAACTATATATTAATTTATTGTTTAGTGCTAAATCAACATGGCATTACGTCTTTTCAGATTTAGATGGTCTATATATCGACGCGCTTGATTCACCTGTAAGTTATCCTTTTATTCTCTCATATTTTAATTTAATATCGTTACTAATGTGCGATTGTTCACTAATAGGAGCCTACAGAAGATATAGAGTTTGCATCCCAAGGTATCAAAGCAATTTTAGATCCAAATACTTTAAAGGCAATGATGATGACTGATGAAGACAATGAAATTCGTGAGAAAGATTTACCAGAAAGAATACAGGTAATCTATCATTATACAGTTTACGAGTATAAATATAAATTTCCTAAAAAGTAAATATATATAATAATTATAATTAATTAATTTGTAGTTGAGAACAGAAATTCCAACAGATTATAAACTTAGTGAGGCTGAAGTTAGAAAAGCTGCTAAATGGATATCAAATAGACTATTCAAATTCAGAGATCATAGAATAATAAATCAAAATGATTTACTAGAAGCTGTAAAAAATGTAGTAAGACATATTTCTCAAGAATTTTATGAGGTTCCATTCATTTTCACCTACAAAAGAGACGAATTTGTTCAATTTGTTGATTTCAATGGAAGACCTAATGAAATTTTGACAAGAGAAGATCTCTGGATTATTTATGATTTGGAATATACTTTTAGGAAATTTTTAGAACGTCGTAAATATGTAAATGAATTTATGGACAAATATAGTATTAATGATGATTATATAAACGGGATGACTGTTGAAGCTACAAATGTTGATGAATTGAACGATTTACTTGATTACTCTCATCTCAAATATGGATCTGAAATTGCTTCGAAATCCACTCCTCCTACTCAAAAACGTAGAACGAAAAATTCATTCTATCGGGAATGTTGTAAACGTGGCGTTGGTAAATTAACTAAGGTAAATTTAAATAATCATTTTTTTATAACATAACATAGTTAAATAATCAATTTTTTATTGCTTTGCTATTTAAAAGAAATTTGGAATAGATATTGAAAAATATGGTGAAAGTCTATCTTCAGATCATAAAACTTATTGGCCCATTGATCCTGACAAATCAATTAAAGATGAGGCTTTACAACTTAATAATTTTAATGAAAACAGAGCAAATCTATTTATTAAAGGTAGTATTTGGTCATTTTTTTTAATGAAATTTATAGCAAATAATTAATTATTACTTGGTATTTTTATTTAAAGATGCTGTAAGAATGCTCTCCCAAGAAATAGCAACTACTCCACCAGTCAGAAAATTTGTAAGAAGTTATTATTTAAAACATGCAAATGTTGTAATTTGTCCAAATAAGATTTTAACAGAAGAGGATAAAAGTTGCTGGGTAAATGCATTAAAATTTTTTTCCTCGATTGATAAAAAAAAATAATATTAACCATCAAAAAAAAAATTTTTTTTATGAAAAATAAGTCATTCCGATTTTTGAAAAAACCAATTCAAAAATTTGCTAACAGTGGACAATTTGCTGAAATTTTAAAAGCAGAAGACGACGAAATGATAAAAGTTTCAATTGAATTAGATGATAAAGAAAAGTTTTTACGAAGGCTAAAGGAATATATAGTTAGTGATAATGCCACCAATGACCCAACTATTAATGAATGGAATAAGTATAGAATGGAAGCAGTTGATCAAGCATATAGTGCTAATCTTGTTCCGTTCTTGAATTCGTGGCTAAGAACAATACTCAAGAATGATGCTGAGCAATGGATTATGGAAAAATTGATGTTAAGTCTTGAAAATGTATGTAGTCTTTGTATTTTGTTTAATTATATCATGTTAAGTTATTAATAACAATAACAAATAGTGGTGATTAATAATCATTTCTTTCCTCTTTTTTAATAGAAAATTAATTTTAAACCATTTAGACCTGCCGGGTCATCTAGAAGAAATGATACATCTGCTGAATCGTCATCTAATAAAAATGACTTGCCCTCTGTTTTAGCAATTTCATGGGGTGCTGGTGGTCATAAAGCTAATACAGAGTGCGTATTGGTTGGCAGTCAAGGAGAAGTTATGGATACTTACGATTTTGGTGATCTCAAGAGTGGTCAAGAGGATTTTTTTGGATTATTGAACCAATACAAACCAGAAGTTGTAGTAGTTAAATGCTATGATATTAAAACGAAATATTTATTGGAAACAGTCCAAACTTTTGTCAAAGAGTATAATGATGAAAAAAATGGTTATATTCCTGTGATGGTAGTTAATGATGAACTTGCTCATATTTATAAAAATTCAAAAGCTGCCATTAAAGAACACCATGATCGTAATACGACAGAGGTTACTCGTTATTGTATTGCATTGGCTAGAACAATTCAAGATCCTCTTAATGCTTATGCGTCTCTTGGTGAATTATTAGCAGATATTTCCCATCATCCATTACAAAAACTTGTGAGTATCTATCTGATGATGATAAGAATTTATTCATTTATTTAGATCGATTGCTAAAATATATATGCATGTATTTTTAAACAGTTACCTAAAGAAAAGGCACTTCAAGGCTTGGAACGTGCCTTGATCAACATAATAAGTCAAGTTGGTGTCAATATAAATGATGCTATCAGAAACCCCTATAAGGCTGAAATGTTGAAATATGTATGTGGGCTTGGTCCTAGAAAAGTTGATGCTTTACTTAAAATACTTAGATTTGATGATCATGAGGAGGTGACAACAAGGAAGGATTTAGAATCATACCTGGGAAAAAATATAGTTTATCATAATTGTATTCCGTTTATTAGAATCTATCCAAAACCAATTGAATATTTAGATAATACAAGAATTCTTCCACAACATTATATTCATGCCCGTAAAATGGTTACAGGTGCATTGGAGCTTGGTGATGATGAAATAGAAGACGATAACGAGATTGCGATAAAATTGGAAGATTATAAAAAATTGAAATTAGAATCATCTAAGCTTAACGATTTGAATATCGAGGATTATGTAACGCGTATTAAAGATTTAGATAAATCAGCTACATTATTCTTGATTCATATGTACAAAAAAGAATTGCTTGATCCATTTGAAGATTATAGAAGATCATTTGAGCCATTGAAACCAGAAGAGGTTTTTGCAATGTTAACTGGAGAAACAGAAGAAACTTTGGCCTATGGAATGGTAATACCAGTCACAATCACCAACATTAAACCAAAATTTGTGGAGGTTAAATTATTATCAGATTTGAGAGGTACAATTTTACCAAGTAAAAATGAAAAAAATTTTGAAATAGGTCAAATGGTGATGGCAAAAGTTTTGAAAGTTGATAAAGAAAAGTTTTCAGTGATTTTAACTACAAGACATATTGAACATGATGATGATGATGAAAAACTAGATAAAACACAATTGGATGATTATTTTGATCACGAAGCAAAGAAAGAATATATTGAACCAAAACCAAGTAAAATATAAATTTATTCTTTTTTTAAAGTTATATTATTAATCATCAATATTTATAATTTAATATTTACTTATTATTAGTAATAAGAGAAACACTTATCCCCAAAATTGAGTTTATACGTACTCTTGATCATCCATATTTTGTCAAAGTTAAAGATTACAAAGAGGCAGAAAATTATCTTGTTGGGAAACATAATGGAGAAATTATTATTAGGCCCTCATCAAAGGGATATAATCATCTTGCAATAACATGGAAAGTTTGGGATGATATTTATCAACATATTGGTAAGTATATTTTATTGTTATACAAAAATGAGAAAATATTCAGAAACATCATTATAAGCAAAATCCTAAACCAAAATGATAATAGATATTATTGAAAGAACTGAAGATAAAGATGGAAAGGAAGTCGTATCTTTTACAGTAGCAGGTGGAAAGGATGTGTATAGTGATATAGATGAATTGATAGTGACATATGTTGAACCAATTTACGGAAAAGTTGAAGAGTTAACTTCCCATCCCAAGTATAAGCCATCTAAAGAAATTTTAAGTATGTTTTTTTTGAGAGAGAGAATATTGACCAATCAAATAAAGTAATTTACTAATTAATTATTTTTAAAATAGATTACTACTTGGAATCTAACCTTAGATCTAATCCAAGGGTGTCACTATATGGCTTTACATTGGATAGACAAAGACCAGCATACTTTATTTTTTCTTATAAAATCAAGCCCGATACACCAATTGTTGATTTGGTAAGTTTGAGTTTATTAATTAATTAATTATTCATATTTATCTATTTATTAATTAATAATTTATATGAATTTATGTGAATTAGAGTGGATACATTTATTCAAATGGGTTTGTTTTAAATAATAAGAAATACAAGAGTGTAATTGATCTGATTAATGGATTCAAAATCAGTTTAACATCACTCAAAAAATATTAAACATAATTGGATGCCACTATCTTTATATATTTGGAAATGATATATTTTCTATTATTATTATTATTATAATTTTTTTAAAAAATCATATTATTATTATTAATGCAAATTTTAAAAATCATATATAGATGAAAAAAAAAAAATTTTAAAAATAACAAAAATAATAAAAATAATAAAAAGTTTATTGCTTAATAATAAAAATAATAAAAAATTTTATTGCTTAAAAAATTTCTAATCTTTTAAATTAATTGACATGAAACTTCAATTCAAAAAAAATTCATGTTCCATTCATTAAAATAAACAAGTTGATAAATTTTATGATAATAATTAAGAAAATATAAATTTCGTAATATGTTTTCCGAAAAACACATTAATATTAATATTAATATGGAAAGACGCTTTTTCACCGGATGTAATTCATAAGATGATGGGATTCAAAAAAACTGAATATTCAGGTTTTTTTTATTTCTATAAACTTTTTTATAGAAGAAATCCAACCAAACGAACTTAACAGAGCTTTATGAACATTAACACTAATATCAATAACAATATTAATAGCAATAACACACCAATTACTACCACGTATTCAGGAAGTAATTTAATTAAATTGAAAAATAAGCCGGAAGAAGTAATCAAAAATAACAAACAATAATTAAGAAATGAAAATATTTCTTTGAAAAAAAAAAAGGCTAATGATTTGTGTTAGAGGATGGAAATTAGAAACAGGGATAATCAAAATAAGTAGTTACATATTATCTAACTACGGTGTGGCTACTAGGACTAGACTATGCATCTACTAGGTAGCTATAACCATGACCATGATCTTAGTAGATTACATTGTATGCTGTGTTGGTGCTCTTTCTTTCATTCAAAGTCATGTACATTGATGTGATTGTTGGCTTTCAATCGGCTCCCAAATGTTTTCCTCGCTCAAGGCTGAGGCACAATATGATTATATGCCTGAACTAGATTCAAAACATCCTATCATTCTATTTTGCAATAATGTAATTTTTAATAAATAGACTATGGTGGATTGATTGAATGGTCTAATAAATTGCTTAAATAGACCCGCTGTCCTCCAGTTGTTGACTAAAATTGCAAAAAGACGTACATTAGTTTTGTGTTCAAATGCCAAGAGTAAGGCACGTAGTGCCGAAATGGTATTCATGATTTGGCCTTGTATATTGAATTCGGATGCCAAATGTGAGGCACATCTCATGGGGGGACCAGCACTCCTGATTTTATAGCGCTTCAGTTTTTATCAAAGGAACCAAAATTACATTCACGGAATTGCACGTCTTGGATTTACACAATGAAATAAAATCATAATACTCTTATTAACAGAAGAAAAGAGGATTCGATACTTGATACCAAATAAAATATATGCGAGGCAGTCAAACCTATTACTTTTTAATAAATTTTTGATCCTGGCCTTTTATTTGTGGGAGAATTGTCAACAGTTACCCAATCCTTTAATAGTCCAACGATAATTCCGATTACTAGCTTTACACTAATCCAAAGCACGTCTAGATTTTCTTTGATTGCGATCTTTGCGAGTTGATTTGGTACTCGCCGCACTTGTATAGTAAATGCCATCCAAAGTATAAATAATAAAATTCTGTGGCTAAAAATAAATACACCTGAAAAAACACACGACTGAAATTTCGATGACTGAGGCCGCCAAAACAAAAAATCTTTGCAATACCATATTAATATATGTAGTCGAAATAGTCATTATCAAATGCTTTTGTTTGATTTTTTTTTTTTTTTTTTTTTTTTAATTGCACTTTTGAGTGTGCTAAAATTTGAGCGTATCCGATCTTGATATACCTTTATAAAATGTGCCAAATGTTTTGTTACCTGGACTAATACTTGTTGCCCTCCTAACTCAAACGGCTTAGTTCCGACCCTAAATTCAAATTCCTGAATTTGAGCGTTAAATAAAACTAGTACAAATTTGGGTTTTTAACATTTAGAAAAAGCGCAACAAAATTCGTGTAAACAAAGATACTAATTTCAGTAATGATGTTTTATCTAATTTGTCAATTTGTTTGTTTTAAAAAAAAAAATTTTACAAAAAAGGATTTCGATGTTCCACGAATTTAATTGCGTTGTATTATAAAGTTATACTGCAACTGTAGTTTAAGCGGAAGTCGAAGCTGAAGCCGAAGTTGAAGTTGCAGCTGCAGAGCGCTCCCCCAAAATTTTTTTAACGAATATTGGTTTTATTAACACAAAGAAGAAATTTTCTATTTGCCGTGTCACCATCTCCTTCCGAAATTCGCAAAGTTCATAATCTT